ATATATATATATATATATATATATATACGTTATATATATAGGTGATGATTCAATCTTTCATCTTTGAGGGACAAAAGATGAAAATCAGTTGTAACTTACTTGTAAGAAAAAAATGTAAAAATGCCGAGTAAGATTAACAACAAGTACAGGGTAATGGTATAGATTGTCGAATTAGTTAATCTGAGCTTATCTGGTTGTTGTTGTTGTTGTTGTTTCACACTAATATAATAGAAACTGACTAAATATAATAAAAAAAGGGAAAACGAATTGGATAAGGTTGAAGTTTGTTCTCTCTTGGAGTTATAACAGAGATCAAGTCTGCAGGGTACATCAAAATCAAACACCCATCGGATCTAATTAACGGAGAGAGAGAGAGATACAATAAACTCCGAAACGTCCGTCATCCTCAAAATATTAAGTAGTTACGTGTCAAACCGTCAAAAACAAGGTCGCCGTTACTTCCTTCCCTCGTAAAAATACTATATTTAGGTGTACACACACGTCTCACATAGGAGACTCAAAAATATATATTATACTGTCAGTCATATATATATATACGTATTCGTAGCTATTACGATATTTTTAATAATCTTCTATATATCAATCAACTTCTCCGATCGGTGGAGTCTTGTCTCTCTATCCCTTTTTTATATATAGCTTGTTAATTAAGGTGCTGCGGTTATTGGAGCCTCAACACCTGCGCTGAATTGATGATAGATGATAGCTGAGCTCGGTCGTTGCTTCGATCATCTAATTAACATGCAGATTCTCGTTGCTTCGACGTTTAGGGATGATCGGAGTAGCGTCACCGCCCAGGATCAGCGTGTTCCGGCGTCTCTGTCTAGCTGGGTCGGGTTTAATAGAACTCCGGCGAATAGTTGGTCGTCCGTCGGAGATATTAGCAGTGAGGAGGAGGAAGAAGAGGACGACGACGCCGTATCCTCGTCACAAGGAAGATGGTTTGATTCGTTTACTTCCTCTCTGGAAGACTCTCTTCCGATCAAGTAAGTATCTTTCTTTTTTTTTTTAAATTCGTTCTTTCTTAATCATCATTATCCTGTTAATTATCTCTAATTTACGCCTGAATATATTCGATTTGATGGTGGATGTCCAAACCAAAAAAGATAAAAGAACACATTTACTTTTTTTTTTTTTTTTTTGTTAACAGTAAATTAGAACTACAGCCTCCTTTGCCCTCTTATGTGATCAAATTTAAGTGTTTCAATATAATATGTTGAGAGAGTTGTGTGGGTTTGATGATTCGGATGGTTAAAAATGTTTTGATTGTTCATTTTTGCAGGAGAGGATTGTCAAACCATTACATAGGGAAATCGAAATCGTTTGAGAATCTTATGGAAGCTGCGAGCAGCAGTGCCAAAGATTTAGAGAAATTGGAGAGTCCTTTGAACAAGAGGAGGAGATTGCTTATTGCTAATAAGCTAAGGAGAAGATCATCTTTCAGCATCTACTCCAACATCAACCCTAATCATTCCATGCCTTTACTTGCGTTGCAAGAATCTGACCTGGAGGATATTCACAAATACAATGATATTAATCACACTAGTGATGATGATGATGATGATGAAACTAGTAGTAAGCTTAAAGAGAAGAGGATGAAGATGACGAATAATAATCATCATAGTAGGGATTTAATGGTTCATCAGAGTAAGAGCTGTTTTAGCTTAACTAGTTTTCAAGATGATGATGGTCGATGATCATTCATTATTCTTAGTTTCTGTTTTGTCAAATATAGTAGATCAAGTTGTTGGTGGAATATTTGCAGAGACAAATAATTATATTTCTATAATTGTAATATAAAAAAATAAAAAAAATTCGCTATTTTGTGTATTCTTAATAATTCTCAACATTTGGATCACACTTCTAAGCTAGGCCTACATTTGTTAAAAAGCCCATGAGATTGGTTCTGTAAAGTAATAAAAAAAGTTCCATCAAGAGGTGTGTGCTGCTGCTATGCTGACAGCATAGTATTTTCAAGAATAGTGGCTGCCTTGCCTTGACTGCGCAGCAACTAGCAACTCAAGGATTCGTTATCCGATAATTTTTCTGTACCATGTTGAATATAATTTGTTTGATTCTGTACCACATTGAATATTTATGTACAGCACAATTCAACTTAGGTCTTTGGTGTTTGTTTTCTTTTCAATTACACAAGTCAACATTATAAGACCACCTACACTGTTTAAATGGAATATTAACACGTTTTTCTACGATACACCGACTGATTACAAAAAAAAAATAAAAAAATAAAAAATAAGGATACAGCGACTTACAAAGTAAATTACAAATTTTCAAATTAGTTGGGTACGTATACTTTTTTTTTTAACCCAGTTTAATTACATTATATATACGTTATGGTATTTTATAATAGAGACCATTTCGTTTGTGTTTTGTTTATAAATCGATCATAGCAATTATTTAAAAAATAACATCCAACACATTTTGTTTATTAGTGAAGAATTTCTAAACTTTAAGAATGATTTCTAAATGAACATAATTAGTTTGGGAGTTCTTTTTTTATTATTTTTACTTATAATATTTCAGTACTTAAAATTATACTGTAACAAGTTAGAAAACAAAAATCAGTTTATGGATTTTGGATTTCCAATACAGTTTTCGTATTTTCAATAATCTCGCTCTCAGTAATATGGTTGGTGTCAACTTCGAATTAATCATTACATATTATTTTATTCGTAAGCCACAGTACCTCACCTACTAACATCACGTTTTTAAACAAGGCAATTCTTGGTCATCTGTCAAAGACAACACATACCATGCCAACCAATAAATCTTTTAACATTGCTATATAAACCACAGCATCACTTACTCTAGAGTAGAGAGTACCTCGACAACAAGACTCTTAAGTAAAACAAACTAATTAAAAAATGGATCTCTTCTTGATTATAGTTGGCTTGGTAGGAGCTGCAGCCTTCTTTTTCCTCCGGAGCACCACCAAGAAACCTCTCCGGCTACCTCCGGGGCCAAAAGGTCTTCCTATTATAGGAAACCTTCACCAGATGGAGAAGTTCAACCCACAACATTTCCTTTTCCGTCTCTCCAAGCTATACGGCCCCATTTTCACTATGAAAATGGGAGGCCGTCGCCTTGCCGTCATCTCCTCGGCAAAGCTAGCCAGGGAGCTACTCAAGACTCAAGACCTCAACTTCACCGCTCGTCCTCTCCTGAAAGGGCAACAAACCATGTCGTATCAAGGCCGTGAGCTCGGTTTCGGACAGTACACCGCGTACTACCGTGAGATGAGGAAGATGTGTATGGTGAACCTCTTCAGCCCAAAGCGTGTCGCAAGTTTCAGACCCGTTAGAGAAGAAGAGTGTAAAAGGATGATGGACAAGATCTACAAAGCCGCCGACAATTCAGCCACCGTTGATCTAAGTGAGCTTCTCTTGTCTTTTACCAACTGCGTCGTATGCAGACAAGCTTTTGGAAAGCGTTACAATGAGTACGGAACCGAGATGAAGAGATTCATAGATATCTTGTACGAGACGCAAGCACTTTTGGGCACTCTTTTTTTCTCCGACCTTTTCCCTTATTTCGGATTCCTTGACAACCTCACTGGACTCAGTGCCCGTCTCAAGACAGCTTTCAAGGAGCTTGACACTTACCTTCAAGAACTCCTCGACGAGACTCTTGACTCTAAACGCCCTAAACCCGAGACAGAGAGTTTCATTGATCTTCTGATGCAGATATACAACGACCAACCCTTCTCAGTCAAGTTTACTCACGAAAATGTCAAGGCCATGATATTGGTTCGTTATAACTCTTAAAGTGCATTTCTCTAAGTTAGTTAAATATATCAGTACTGTTATATTAACATTGGTTGTTTGTAATTTTATCAGGATATAGTAGTGCCGGGAACTGACACGGCGGCTGCAGCGGTGGTATGGGCCATGACTTATCTTATAAAGTACCCTAAGGCGATGAAGAAAGCTCAAGAGGAAGTGAGGAATGTGATAGGCGATAAAGGATATGTCTCGGAAGAAGACATACCTAATCTCCCTTACCTCAAAGCAGTCATCAAGGAGTGTCTTAGGCTCGAACCAGTCATCCCCATTCTTCTACACAGAGAAACTATCGCAGACGCAAAGATCGGTGGCTATGATATTCCGGCCAAGACCATCATTCAGGTGAACGCGTGGGCAGTTTCTCGTGACACAGCTGCGTGGGGAGAAAACCCTAATGAGTTCATTCCAGAGAGGTTCATGGAGGAGCACAAAGGAGTGGACTTTAAGGGCCAAGATTTTGAGCTCCTACCTTTCGGTTCAGGTCGGAGAATGTGCCCGGCCATGCATCTTGGGGTCGCAATGGTAGAGATACCTTTCGCTAACCTTCTCTACAAATTCGACTGGAGTCTACCTCAAGGGGTTAAACCAGAGGATATAAAGATGGACGTCATGACCGGCCTCGCCATGCACAAGAAAGAACACCTCGTTCTTACACCAACTAAACACATATGATCCTATATATATATATCGCTAGGACATTTCTGCTAGTAGATATGCCCCAATGTTTGTTTTTCACTTCAGTAATTTCGTTTTAATTAGTCATGACTTTGTTTTTGTTTGGCTCTGTTCTCATTTCAAATAATAAGGTATTCCGTATTCTATGTGAAAAGTACAAAAAAGTAGAAAAAGACAGAATGTATTATAGTCCCTTTTTTTTTGTGATAAAAGACTTTAATGGAGTATGTATTATATATTCCCCGTAACAGAACTTTTCTTGTTATCTTATTTAAAATCAACGATACTATGACTAGAAATCAATGTTGCTAAAAGATAACAAGTAGACTCAGTGACTATCGAGAGGAAGTTCCGTTGACAGTAATAAGTATTTGACTTTGGATAACACGTTGATTTGGACTTTATCATTCTACTGCTCCTGTTGCACACGTTCTTCAACTTTATTCCTAGTTTTATCATTTTTTCCAGACGATCAAAAACTCAAAAATGTATATGAAAGAAAAATAAACAATAAAAGAAATTGAAATAACGAGATTCTAAAGTGGAGCAAAAACCAGGTAACTTTGAATCTACTATAGATAAGATATTTCTAGAAAATCATGTTTTAATCTCCTCAACAAACGACATTATAGAAGAAGAAAGAGCAGTACAAAGAAACCAAAATCGTCAAGTACTGTAAGAAAACACACACAGCCGTCCGAGGAAGAATCCATCGACATACCGGATAATATACCGGCTACGGAAAAATGATAACAAAATAACTCTTTACATATCCTTAAACGCCTCTCCATTCATATAGTAATAAAAATTTGCTCAAGAGAAGAGATAGGTACGTCGTCTAAACCTGTTACTTTGCGGGCCACCGTTCCAAGTCTGTGGAACCTATCAGTAAGGTACCGGAAATTATAAGGAGGATTCAACGTGTATGGTTTGATTTTGGAAAAAAAAAAAGAAGATATAATATTATTAACTAACCTCAGGTCCTCAGCTACTACCCTTTTGTTTGAGGGTGATTTTGTCTCCAAGACTTAGAGCAATTCCTTGCGTCTTGCTCCTTATCCTTATGTAGCCACTCAGTGCTCCATCGGTTTGCTTCTCGATACTCACATTCACTAGAGCATCCTCACCAAACACACTTTTTGCATATAAGTTTGCTGCAAGGAATCCACATTCTCCTTCTATTGCGGATCTGCAAATAGAGAAGCATTATATTAGTAAGGAGAGTCTTCAGTTACAAAGGGAAGAAAGATGAATCTAAACTTACGGGGCTGTGAGGCACTTCATGTTTGTGGATTTGATAATGTGGTCGAGGAATTCTCTTTCGTTTTGAATCGTGGTGTTCACAGCAACCTTACATGGAGAACACAACCGGAAATGGTTATACCAAGAAAAACAAAAAAGGGTAAAACTGTAAAAGGTTTCAGTTAATTACCTTGTTCTCCCATTCAAACTCTGCCCACATAGTTCTGAAAGCAACCTCTGAGCAAACAGCAGGGGAGATGTAGTCCATGATATCAATGTGTATATCATTAAGAACCACAACGTTTCGCTCCATTACATTTGATGTCTCATAGACGATGTTCCCGAATATGACTCCAGTCTCTGTGGACGAGACCTTGATGTTTGCTTTTATCTGCATGCTTGTTGCAGGTGCCAGACTATAGTTCTGAGGACGCTCAACAAGTTTAAGATCACCCATGGTTGCTAACTCCAAGCACAGATTTTGAAGGGTTTCCTTTGTACGGTTTATAACAGTTACTTCGAGTGCAATATCATAATGGTGTACTGTCACATACGCTTCAGCATAGACTGGATCACTGAATCCTGTGAGTTGAAGAATCCTGTTGAGTTTGTTAGCATCATTTTCATCCTTGGTGAATTCTCCGGTTGCACGCTTTAGGTCATCTTGAACTTGGTCTTCCAACTCAAGCTGACTCATTCCCTGAAAGATACTTATCATCAGTTACTTCATCTGCTGACCGAAAGAAGTAAATATAACCAGCAACTTTGTGAAAATTTGAAAAAAAATAACCCGGATCTGAACTGTAAGAGACAGTAGACACCGAGGTGTAAGAACTGAACAGATTGTAAAGGAAGATTAATATGGAAGAGAAAATAACGCACAACAAGGCAAATGAAATCTTAAAAAATAATATTACCTTCCGGCTCTTTAGATGGAAGAAGTCAATTAGATCATCAGGTTGAGCATGAGTTGTTTGGGTCTTTGCTTTAAGTTCCTCCAACTCTCTAAGCTGTTTTTCAGAAATCATCTTGACAAAGCTCTGGCGACAGGATTCCAACCATATCTTTTTCATCTCATCATTCCTATGGCAAAGCAATTTTATGCACAACACAATCCTCTCATATGAATCATTATCAATAGGGTGTGGAGAAACAGGAGATTGTCCAAGTTGCAACATAGAAACCATGATCAGCAAAGACTGTGTGACTGTCTTGTTCACTTCAGATTTAGAAGGCTGAACCTCTTCCAACCTAAGAACAAGTTTAGTTAATGTGCAAGCAACCACTGCTCCTAGGAAAAAATCACCAGTTAGAAGCAGTGCTCTCAAATTTCCAGAGGTCAGAGATCCTTGAACAACTGTCGGTGAAGAAAATGTGGTTTCAGAGGCTGCGCTTTGAGTAGCATAAGTTCCATCAGCAAGAATCACTGGTTTTCTTGAGGACACCATGGCGGAAGAGGTAGGCTGAATCTTCTTTGATGTCTCAGTTGGTTCAGACTCCTCAGAAACAGAGTAAAATGGTAATTCACCAAGGCATTGTTTAATAGTTGAAATGCCACTCTCAACTTCTGAAAGTGATAGACAATACTCTCCAATAATCCAAAGAGCACAAGGGCAGACCTTTCCTGCACGGATCTGATAGAAAGTGTCCAACAACCTGGTTATGATTGAAACTCTTAACTTGGGATTTGTTTCTATTATCTCTCTAACAAAAACAGCCACATCAAGAGCAGAAGCCACATTGCTATCTCCCAAGAAATCCATTAGAAGATGGACCACTGTGCTTGCAACTTCAGGGAACTTAACTGCACAAGCATGGATTGCTTGAATAAGCATTTGTCTGTACTCTCCATTTTTCTCAAGCTCTCCACTCTGAGTTTTCACAACTTCTTTCTTCAACATTTGCACGACTTCATTAATATTATGATGAGTAATCAAGTCAAGGGCAATGTCAAGTGTCTTCCTGCGGATATCAAGGTTTGGGCTTGAGAGTGCTCTAAGAACATCTATTATCAACTCAACCATGATATCTCTGTGCAATGTCTTAAGTTCATTCAACCGATCGAGCAAAATGAGCTTCACATTGTTGTCACTCTGAGAAGAAAGAAGCTGGCAGTAGGTGTTGGCAGCAGCCCTAATAGCAGTAGGGGCAGAGGAGAGAGAAACCAGTGTCCCAGCACATTCGTAGATAACTGCAGAAGAAGTGGCACTTAACAGAGAAATAATAATCTTAATATATTTCCCCTTCTCTGTTGGTTTAGTCTTACACACACTTCGAATCAACTCCAGAACCACCATCTGAAGTGACTCATTCCAGTCTGAAACCTTGTCAACATTGCTCAGAAGATAATTCACTGCTCGCTCTTCAGCACAGGTAAAGAGCATTAAAAATGCATTTCTCTTGGCAGACGGATCTTGTTCTGTTGATAGAACTTTCTCGATCATTTCAGGTGCATCCACGAAGAGTTGCTCGCCTTGTGGAAGCTTATAAATTGACATGATGGCCAGAATTGCATTCCTGCGGACAAATGGATGGCGATGCTCCAAATTTTGTAACACTGATGGAGTCAAAGGCTCCACTATTTCAGTCTCCTTCAACCGGCAGAGAAACCTCAGTGTCACCCCACGGATGTATTCATTCGGATGCTGAAGGTTATTCCTAAGATTCTGGCATATCAAAATCATTTCAGGCAACACCTTCCCCTTAGAATCCGTTTTTTCAATCAGCTCCAGGTACAGCAACAGAAGCTTTTGGATAGTGTGGTCCTCAGAAGGTAGCACATATCTTATAATGGTTATGAAAAGCTGAGGAATGGTTTCACCATTCAGCAAAAGCATAACCGCCTTCTTCATAGCATCAACCTTTGCTTCAACATCATTTCCTTCAAGAGCTTCTTTAATCTCATTTGCAACTGCTGGAGTCCCTTTATCATAGTGCACAAGCAAGGTACTCGATTTGTCCATCTCTTCTGGTGCTGCACAAAAAAGTGAAAGGAAAACCGAAAGGATTAAAACTTGTGAGCTCAAATGAAACTGAAAATCATGCAAGAACAACATGTAACGTAAGAAGGATTGGGAGTGACTAGAGAGAAAAAGAACCCAAAATTATTAGATATTAAATACATAACGAGGTATATAGATGACAAGTAACTTTGACCAAAAAAAAAAAGATGACAAGTAACAAACAAGATATCCAAATATCACTATTTCTTGTGGTTTCAAATTTGAATAACTCACTAAAAGAACCTTATCAGTTTCCTCATCACTGTTTGAGTAAGTTCTATAACAGATGTATAACAGAATCCTCATAACTAGTCAGCAATAATCTACACCACTCTACTAAATTTCTATACAATGAATGAAGGATCTGTGCTCTTGAATCCGTGGTTTAAGAGCAAAGATCATAATTGCAGACAAAATTTTGGCAATGTCCAATAAAAGACGACAAGATGCAGAACACACTGACAAATCTAAATCCTCAAATCCAGCGATACCATCAGTTTACTACGACTACGACCAAAACAATCAACACAAATCATTTACGAATAGTAATATAGCTTCCGGATCAACTGAAATTCAAAAAATAAAATGCCATCTCAATGCTTTAATTCCCCAGATCTGAAGAACAAACAATCAGATCTACATAGTCCGCAGTCTCAATCAGCTGCACAAACATGAAAATTGATTTCCTAACGAAATCGGATCACTCATCAACGAGATCAAACAAAGAACGCCAGAGAACATCTAACATTGTAGATTCTCGCAAAGGAAAAGACAAAAAAGAGGGATCGATCTCTATGAAATCTGAGTCATTAGTCGAAAGACGAACCTCAAGGTACGAGATCCAGTGAGAGGAGGAGGAGATCCACGGCTTTACAAAGGTTTGGATCCAAGACACGATTTGGATCTCGGAGGAAAACAAACACTCGCTCGCACGCACAAAGTGAGAGAGATCAAATGTACTACTTATGGGTGATGGTGTGGTGGATTCGTCTTCTGTTTACTCCTCCAAATCCGTTTTTTAATTTTATTTCCTTTTTCTTATTTGGATACAAAGAGACGGAAAGAGCGAGTCAACCTCCAAGGCCCAATAGAATGATCTATAAAAAGCCCAGTCAAGTAGAAGTTGAGTTGTCAACTAATGCCCCTATATCTTTAAATTATTTTCAAAAAGCTCCCAAACTTTAATTAGAAGGAATTAAGAGACAACTCCCATTCTACATATTACAAAAAAAGATAGTCAACTAAATTAGTATTTTTGGTGATAGTCAACTAAATTGGTATTTTTTGTGTATATGATTTTACATAATTGTTTAATCATCTGTAAGCCTAATAATTACAAACTTCACAATGTAAAATTGTAAATTGATTTTAAGTAGGGTCCGAGACTGCCTCCTTTTCGGTGACGGAATCTTTTCCGTTTTTTCTTTATTTCGTTTAATATTTGTATGCTAAAATTCAATCCATTAAAAAACATTTTTAATTTAATAAAGCCCAATTAGTTAAAAAAAAATTGTAAATTGATCAAAGGAATGAATAAGATTTCTTATAAAAACAGGCATTCTAAAAACTGCATCACGTTCTCTAACACGACATATGATCCACCTTATATGTCTGCTTAGTGCATAGTAAACATGTTGTGTACTTAATTTATATTGGTCAAAGCATCTAACTTATATTTTAGTTTAGATCGAATGAGTTTGTAATACATATAATTCACTTGGAAGTTGGAAACGTATTCATATTTTTGTGAAACAAATATTTTTATGAATGCAATATGTTTTGGGTTGGTACATCAAAACAAATATTATGAGTATATAATTTTTATGTATGCAAATGTTTTATAATTTTTATGTATATTTCTATCTCTATTACAAAAATGGTCAAATCAAATTATATATCAATAAATATTCACTCGCGTTTATAATTTTTTTTATTTTTATACTCTTTTATTGAAAATATTATATTGTATTTGTTACTTTATACATGTCTAAAAACTATATAATATAATATATTTGTTAATTTTCCTCAATCCCTAACTACTTTGTAAGTGTACTTTTTAACAAAAAAATACTAAAACTTCTAACAACACCAACAATCCAATTTTCATAAAGTCATTTACATTAAAATAAAATAAATAGATAAAATACCAATAATTTTCCGCGTTGCAGCTCGGATTCGATCCTAGTCTTTTTGTGAAACAAAACACTTGCACGCACAATGACTTCTGACTTGTAATTCTTTGTTAGTTTTTAGCCGTTCATATATCTTGTTATTGATCTTGGGTTCAGCTATTTGCATTTTTCAACAATTACGACATTTCAATTACCCATTGAACCCACTACTACCGGCGTTTGAAATTATTTTCCGGTTTTGCATACTTTATGTATTGGCGTTGCCAATGTTAAAGTTTTTTTCATTACCAGAAAACATTCTGTTAATTTTTCCTTCATATATTATCTAATATCCAGTTAACACCATGAGAATGTATGCTTGAAAAGAATCATTCCCTACAAAAATTAATAATGTTCCACCGAAATGATTAGCACTTGTTGTTGCACATTATTAACACAGCGCATGTGTTTAGATTCTTTAGATGATATATACGTACAAATATGAAAGTATAAACAATGGTTAGTTCAAAAAAAAAAAAAAAATGAAAGTATAAACAATGGTGTGTGTATATATAAATATAGATCGTACTAGATCTAAAGAGCGTCACAAACAAATCTAACTCATCTCTTCCCAATGGAACCCAAAACTTTGATATTTCTTATCATCACCATAGTTATCACCACTCCACTTCCTTCTCTCTCTATTCAAATTACATTAAATAAGACACCAGTAACATCACCACCCCTAACTTCATCTCAATACAAAACCCTAACCCGCAACACCATTCAGCAGCAGTTTCTCCTACCACACAACATGTTACGAGCCAAGCTTCGTCTCCGTCCTCTAAAATGGAGCAATAGTCTCGCTCGCTACGCAAGCCGGTGGGCTCGAACCCGCCGTGGAGATTGCAACCTTATCCACTCCGGGGGACCGTACGGGGAGAATCTCTTCTGGGGAAGCGGAAAAGGGTGGAGACCACAGGACGCGGTGGTTGCGTGGGCCTCGGAGAAGAAGTACTATGACCGGAGAACTTACCGGTGCAAGGCGAATGGGGATTGCTTGCATTACACACAACTTGTGTGGAGGAAGAGTTCGAGGATTGGGTGTGCAATCAGTTATTGCAAGACCGGTGACACATTTATCATATGTAGTTATGATCCTCCCGGTAATATTGTTGGACAACCACCCTTTTGAAAATATACTGTCGACACTTTATCTTTACCATTATTTTTCTCAACTTTCTACACTTGATTTTGATTTACGTGAAATATTGTTTTTTTTATTCCTTGAGTATTTTTCCAATACTACTGTATGTAAGAATAACGAAATCTGTATCGGTAACATCAAAATGCTACTTTTAACCGACAAAGAAGACAATATTGGTTCATAGTTCATACTGTTATTTAAACACCATCGATAGAAGAAACACAAATTTTTTTGAGTTATAATTTTTGGTTGGGTATGTTCTTTTGGCCGGTTAAATTGTTGGGGTGTGAGAATATTACATTCACCGATGGTCAACTCAATTTCAGACTTTCTTGATCACGTTCGAGTTGACGCGGTTCGGTTTATAATAAGTTTTTATCTGGATTGAGAAATTAGAACCGAACCGTAGACTGTAGAGGAAGTTAATTTGGGCCTTTGAGCCGACGAAACAAAAAAGCCCAACGCTTAAAACTCAGAAACTGAACCCTAAGAAGAGGCTCAGATCGCTACATCGACGCCGGTCCTCATCGCCGGCCGAAACTTCGACTATCGACTCGTTCGTCACAGACTCACAGTCAGTTTCATTTCTGCTTCTTCTCTCTCTCGTTGCTGGACCATTTATGTGGTTTACTTTACTTAAGTCTTAAGGTAAGCTTCGCTGCGATATTGACTTCTGTTTCTCTTGATTTCACTTAAGATAAGATGGATCGGACCTGATTCGAGCGACGAAGCAAGAAGGCGAAATAGCATACCGGATTTTATTTGCTAATTTTTTTCCGGTTTAAATGAAATCGTTTGGCTAAACCGATTTTTTTTTGGTCATCTCCAGGTCATACCAAGCAAGCATTTGGGGGAAGAAGAGTGTGTGTTTTTCTTTGTTTTGCAATCTGTGATTTTGTGAGGAGAAACGAAGAAATGTCGTTCAGAGGGAAGGAGATGATGAAGAAGCTTGTGAAGAGAGTGGGTGCGGAGAATATAACGCCGGAGCTCAAGGAGAAGCTCAAGGCTTGTGTTCCCGATGCCAAAGTCGTCATGGGCAGAGCCAAACGCGGTCTCTACGCCGGCCGTCATATCCAGTACGGCAACCGCGTCAGTGAAGACGGTGGAAACAAGTCTGTCTCTTTCTCTCTCTCGTATCTTTCTCAATCTGTTTATAATGTACGTGTGTTCGCTTTCGATTGGTTGAATTTACAGCTTGTGATAGTTTTTGCTCTATATTCAAGCATCGAAGGAGGTGAATTCTAGGTTCTTAGGAATACTTTCTGGTTTTAGGATTCAATTTAGTGAATTGAAATCTGAAAACTGTTCAATGGCGCTCGACGAAATCTAAGATGGTTAGAGATTGTATAGTGCCTCATATTTTTTTAGCCCTCCCATTTGTTCCCTGCAGATGGCATTGTTGCTTTGTTTCTGTATCATGCTATTATTTTAAAGATTCTCAGTTTTGTGAACGATGGTCTGATGAACATTTAACCTATGTGTCTTAATCTAATGGTTTGGTGATAAATTTTTTTGTTAATCTCAAAGTTGTCAATTTGTGGTGTGATTTGAGAACAGGTCAAGAAGATGTTGGAAACCGAATGTTCAGGAGAAGCGATTGTTCAGCTACATATTCGACCGCCACATTAAAGTCAAAGTCACAACACACGCTCTCCGCTGCATCGACAAAGCAGGGGGAATAGACGAGTACTTGCTGAAAACACCATACCAAAAGATGGACACGGAGATGGGTCTCTACTGGAAAACCAAAGTGGAGCAAAGGTATGCAGAGCTAGGTCAAATGGAAGTAGCCTTCTTCACTCCAGAGGATGAAGCCAAGTTTGAACAAGGTTTCAAAGACTTGAATATAGCTAAGAAAGATGCTCGTAGGGAAGCCAGAAGAAAGATGTATGGAAGGAAAGGCGGAGAAGAGAAGGGTGAGGAAGAAGCTTCTATTGAAGGTGTTGTAGGGTCAGAGTCACACCAAGAAGATGATCATGGTTGGTTAGAAGCTAAAGCCTAGTGCTGTTCCCTTTTCTTTACATGGGTTTCTTCAACGTTTTGGATTTTCGGGTGATGTGAGAGCTATGTGAGGTGTTGGTTATAGGTTCGATTCCTCCCTACGAATCCCATATCTCAGGTTTTGAATTTGATCAATGTCGGAAAAGTCTTGTAATAAGCGGTTCACAGTTACACCTCTTTGGAATTGGATCTCTATTTACTCTTTTTACATACTCGTCCTTTCCGTTGGGTTGTTAGTCCTGAATGGGAAAGTTTAAACAACATCATTATCAAATAAAATATACTTTAAATTCTGCTAGCTTTGTAATATAATTTTCCAGTGTTGAGTGATTGTCCCATTGGAATCTCTACAAGTCCCTGTTTCAGAGGCAGAGACAATATATAGATTTATCCGCGTCAACCCAAAGAAACCGAAGAAGCCGACTCAGCAAACCTACTGAAAAGTCTCATCAAGAGATGAAAATTAACCATCCTTGTCCAAGGAGGCCAAGGGAAGATTGGTAGTGTAGTGGTCAAGAAGGATGTGGACTCTGGAGTGCCAGGCTTATTTGCTCCACCGATCATTAGGGCTTATCTATCTAATCGCAAATCCTTGGCCTCAATCTCTATTGCCTTATGTTTTTTCCTAGTGTATGTTTTTGTCAGATGGATCTGGTAATTTACGTATTATGCACAATCAAATATCCAGGTCATATGTATATTTTTTCACGTAATGAACATAATACTTTTACTAGAGAAGATAAATTGATCCAAGAAAAAAAAAAAAAAAAAGTAAAAAGAAGAAGATAATGTCTATTTTGGTCACAACAAAATATTCAATCAAATCCTTCACAACCACAAGACAGTTCGTTAGAACGAAAAAACATAAAACACGTTTGTACCAAAAATAACTAATTGGATCTTTGTCTCATCTTTTGTCTACTTCGCTTCAATCAACAAAATATCATTTGTTTACGTGGTAAGGACAGTTTGTTAAAGAGTATAGAGCATGTGATAATGGTCTCAAACGAATTTTGTGGTGGGAAACTGTAGAAGAACTAGCAGTATATATTTAAGCAAGTCTTGTTTCATCATCATTTCACAGATACAAAGCTTATAATTGTTACTGTTTTCTCTACTTACATTTTGTAACCAAACAAGTCGTCAATTGTAAGATGGAAGGCAAATTTGTAGTGCTAAGTGTGCTCATGATGAGTCTGATCATGTCACAAATTCAAGTTGAAGGAAAGGTCTGCTGCCCATCCCAATTTCAGAGATCTCTCTATGAGATCTGTTACTGGAATCCAGTAACCTTTCGCCAAATGTCCACTTGTTCAGCAGTTGGTGGATGCAAATTGATTTATACGGGTATATGCCCTTCGAACCTTCCTTACAACAATCTCGAAAAATCAGGTAAATTGAATTTTTCTCTAGTGTTTTGTTATGTTATTCGTGACAAAGATGGATCTAGATTCCAATTTTGATGCAAGTTGCGTGAACTTGTGAATCAAGGTGATGATGTCAATAAATACTGCAATCTCGGGTGTGCTTCCTCTGTGTGTAGTGCCATGACTACTCTCAAGAACTTTGGTAAATAGACTCCTAAAGATTATTATTGTTGTTGGAACAAGAAATTAATTAACAATCCAAATCTAATATAATCTTGTTTTGGTGACTAGATGCTAGTGAAATTGTGAATGGAGCAATTGAAAAATGTATCAGTGCATGTTCTACTCTCTGCACCAAGGGCTTTGTTAAACCTGCAACTGAAACCGCCTAAACGAGTAATATCCACGAAGATACCACCACGTCCATATTTCAAAGTTTGTTTTCAACAATTGTCAAACTATCCGACAAAAGGTGTTACTGTTTCCGTATGTGTCGTAGAAGCTGGTTGTGTATGAGTGTATCCCATCCCTTCTACTTGCTCTTCGTATCTTTATAAAAAATAATGTTGCGTCCTTTCTTCTCGGCAATTATCTACTCAAAACGTTTGCTTTGGACGTAATTATGAACATATATATTTGTCATACAATATCAGCTCATATCATGATATTGACAACAACTACATATGCCCCAACTTAGCAACACTGTTAAGGTATTATTTTTTTTTGTCAACTTGAAGTTTTATTAGAACTTGTTTTGGAACCAGTGTTAAGGTATTCAGATTAACAAATCTCTTTGTCCAAAAAAAAAAAAAAAGATTAACAAACTTCAAAAATCTCATCAAGAAAGTTTCAAGCATATAATTTGAATCTTTTCATAGTGTCATATTTGTGTAAGTTTTCAGATGTTAAACTTTGATTGAAATTTTGATTCATTCTGATTAAACAAGTGTGTGCAAGTGATTTTTCGGTTTTTTTTTTTTTAATAATTAAACCAATCAGTTTAAGAATTTTGTTTAATTTCATAATTTGATATACGTCAACTAAAGTTTTATTTGGATGCACCCAATTTTTTTTTTAAATAAAGAATTATGTTGCTTTACCAGAAAGTCACAAAAATAACTTGGTTTTTAAAAATGAAAGGAAAAACTAAAATAAACACGTTCAAGAAAATCAAAGGATTAAAAAAAAAGGCTAGTAAAAAGGTTTGTTGGTATAAAAGAGGACAGATAATTAAACAAGATTATCCTTTTAAAAAGTCGTGGCATCATCATCACCAAATGACATAATTAGAAGAAGAAGAAGAAGAGGTTTTCGAATTCTCTCATAATAATGTTTTTTGTTTAACTTTTTTCTCAATCTTCTGACCAAACCAAGAGGGCGATTGGTGATGACTTTTAAGGCTTTAAAATGGTTTTAAAGCCTTAACAGTAATTAATTTACCAATCAACATTTTTTGCTTTTTTTTTTTTTTAAAAACATTAAAAGTCACTTCTTTTTTTTCTTTCTTTGTTTTCTCATTTTTCTCAAAGCGTAAAAAACCTGACTTTAAATTTAGTCAATTAAAAATATTTATTTTTCATATCCCCATTACATTTAAAACCTTTTCACAAGTTTATAAATACATTTTGTATATTTTATTTTTATAAATTAATTAATCTCATTTTTTTCTTGTTCTTTTAAGATCCATTTCAATAGTACTTTTATTTTATAAATTCATTTATAATATAATTTATATTTATTATAAATATAAAATAATAATAATAAAGATAACATTTATAACTTTAAAAGTTGTTTATTACCAATCAGATTTTAACGGTAAAAATTTCTACAGCTAAAGCATATACAACCAAATTCTCTGCAGCCAAAATTTTAAAGTTAAAGTATATACAGCCACTAGTAACAGTCGTTACCAATCGACCTCCAAATACATTAACTTTAGTTCTCTCACCACCACTACTACTACTACCACTACCTAGAGACGTCGCGATCTTTACCAACCGTCAGATATTCCGGCCCCATTATAGACGGCGAGGATCTCTTGCGTCTTCGTCATCTCAGATTCTCATGTTTTTATATTATAATGAATATTGGGAGTTTTAAGGGCATTAAATATTGGGAGTTTTAATGAATGAAAATAGTTATTTGATTTAAATAAATGATAAATTAGCTTTAAACAAAAAAAAAAAAACAGAAGAGAAAAAATCGGCAACAAGAAGAAGAACAAACAAAACGCTTTGGTTTCCAAAATCCAGGAAGGAAAAAGATAGGAAGAAATTCGAAAGGTACTCATCGTTATAAGATAAAAAAAAAAAGAGTTTGGCTTTCCTTTTCCTTGGTGATTCACTTTTTGTTTCTCTCTCAAAATATCTAGAGAGGTGGTGTGATGATGATATACTTGTCAAATTGACTTTTTTTTTTTTTTTTTTTTCCTGTGTTTGTGATGTTTTTTGAAATGAATGATGTTAGCGTTCGTGATTCTGAATCGATTGTGTCACTCCCTGTTTAGACTAGGTAAAACATAAAACATTTTCTGTGTCTTGTTTCTTTCGAATCAGTTACGAAAAGACAAAACAGCGGAAGATATTAGTTCAGGATTGTTTCTCTTCTTCTTGTTCAAAATTTTTGATTGTGTTTTTTTTTCAAAATCAGTTCATGTTCCTAGAAAGTGCGTTTTCAAGATGATTTCTATATTGACAATTGGAAAGTGACATCCTTTTTGGATCAATCTTATGAAAGGTTTTAGTTTTTATTTGTTTCTTCTAAGAAACCATCTCAGATGATAAGCTTTTGTTTCCATAGGAGGATCTTGAAGCTCTTTATGACTGGCTGTTGATTCTTCAGATCCTAAAGAATTTTTGTTGTTGTTACAGGCATTGCATCCATTTAAAAAGTTCATGGATAGGTGGTCGGGTAAAAGAGCCATTGAGGACCGACCTAGATCTAGGAAGTGGGGTGGTGTTGTTTTGAGAGATAGACTTAACGGCAATACTTGCAAGGTTCCTGTTTCTACTGATGACAAAAAAAAATCTATCAACTTTACTCATCGGTTTGTTGGCTCTTCAGATAAGAAAGAGAAATCAGTGTTGTCTACATACCGCTCTTCGCCAAACGGGAAGGAGGTAAATGGAACTTCCTCTAAGGTTTGTGGCTCTAGCTCCTCTTCTTTGCAAACTGAGAAGCAGCCGCTGTCTCAGATATCCATGGATTCCTCAGAGAGCAGCAGAGGTAGCGAAAACGAGGCAGAGACAGACATTATGGATGGAAGAGATAAAAGAAGAGTTAGAAATAAACTTGTTTATGGAAAATCTAAAGCACCTGAAGCGGAATGCTCAAAATTACCATCAAGCTCAAGAATCAAGAGAGGTTTTAGGCAGAGGTTTGGGTTGAGCAAGCAAGAGTCTCATCCTGGTTCCTCTGGCCAGTCAACATCTGCAAACCGAGGATGCAGCCCGTTGTTATCCGGTGTCATTCCAAGTGGTTTTGGATTGGACAAAAGATTAAGTCGGAAGGTAGATACAATCAATAAGAGAAAGGTTTATGGAGAAAGCAGTTCTAGCTCCTCAGTTAGGGGAAATGATGTAACAGAACCACCAGCTGAAGTGAGACGTCGTAGTTTCAATCCAAGAGGTTCTCTTTCTGATAGTAGAAATGATAGACACCGCAATTTGAATTTTGATAACGATGTTGCTTCAGTTGGGAGTCAGAGATCAGTAAATAGAAGTAATACTCATATTAGATTCTTGAACCGAGGGAATGGTAGAGATGTTTTACCTTCTATCAGGGCAACAGAGATGTCTCAGACTGAAACATCAAACAATCTCAATTCTCCTGTCTCTTTGGAGCTTTTCTCTGGTTTTCCAGAATTTGGCCTATCTGGTTCCTTATTGAGTGAAGATAGTTTTCGCAGTTACAATTTAGATGGGATCTCCGAGGTAATCATTGCCTGTTACTCTACAACTTGACATGTTTGTTTGAGAATCATCAAATAGTTCTTTCGACAATGCCCTTCACACAATTTAACTTTTGGTGTTTGCTATTGCGCGGATGCTTTTGCAGATTTTACCAGAACTTGATAGGATCGAACAAGATATCGAGCTTAATTATGAGGTTAAAATTTGACACATGTTTTGAGTTTCAGATATTGTGATACATGTTGTTACTCATCAGTCCCACTCCTTTAGCAGGAGCTGCTTATCATGGAGACAGGCTTACTTCTCGGTGGACTACGCTTCCATGACCAACACCGAGACATGAGGCTTGACATCGATAACATGTCATATGAGGTTCATCTTTACATCTTTCACTTTGGCGTATCGTTTTGGGATGTAATACATTAACCGTTTTTTTGTTTCTTTTGAATGAATACAGGAACTGCTAGCTCTAGAAGAGAGGATTGGTTCAGTAAGCACTGCTCTCACAAAAGAAGCTATATCAAAGTGCTTGAAAACAAGCATCTATCAAATGGAAACTTCAAATTATGGGTCTATCACCAAGGAAGACGCCAAATGCAGCATCTGCCAGGTCTGTCTCTTTTGTCATGTTTTGTTAGTCATAATCATGTTTTGTCATGTTTCAGTAAAATTTGCACGAGTTACTGTAGCTAAGTGAACAACACCAACTTTGGCTATTATTACGGGTTTCATCACATAGTGTAGTGGAATTCTTTGATGATTAAAGGTGTTTCATTGATGAGAGGAACTGTGTGTATATGTGAAATCACAAATGTTTATTCCCTTTTCCCTAACAATTCTTCATACTCTGATCTGTGTGGTTCTCAGGAAGAGTATACAATAGGAGATGAACTTGGGAGGCTACACTGTGAGCACACATACCATATGAAGTGTGTGCAAGAGTGGTTGCGGATGAAGAGTTGGTGTCCAATCTGCAAAGCTACTGCCGAAACCTCCTCTAAATAACGTCTCTTTCTTCTTCCTCTTCCTCTTTCTTATAATTTTTTTCAATCGTCTAAAGCCTGTGAACAACAATGGAACCTGCCTAAAAAGGGCCTCACCATTTCCTTTGTGTACATACCAATTTACACCGGCTTTGTCTTTCTCTATCCCTTTTGTCTTATGAAAAAGCTGTCCTGTGTTTCTTTTCTTTTCGCCTCTTTCCGATTTATTTTCATAATGTAAAAGTGATATCATCTTCAATTCATAATCTCGACTGTTGAAAAGCAACAAAAGTTTGGTTCTTTGGATCTCTGGACGCAATAAGTTTTGCGCAGGGAAAACTTAAAGAAGACATAATATCTTCTCTTCTTTTGAAAGAGATATCCAAACCAGCTTTGGGGATAGCAATTTCTTTTACAACTCGAAAATCTATCCTGGGAAAAATGAACATCAGGATGTGATCTAAACTGGAGCTCCAATAGAGTACATCAGGATGTGATCAAACTGCAGAGAACCTATTTTAAGTAAACTGAAAAGCTTCTTCAGTGCGAGACAAGTTCAAAGATACGAGAGATAAGATGAAAAAGATCTCTCCAGAAAATGGGAACTTCAAAGGCTACTCACTAATCTAATGGGGGAAAAAGAAACAAGCAAGAACACCACCAGTAGAATGTAAAGATGAGGCAATTCAATGATTTTGAAAACAACTTTTTCATTGAAAATGAGAAAACAAAAATGTAATGTAAATGTAAAAGTGATGTCAATGTGTCTTTAAGATAAGAATTCTAAAATAATTCTAAGACTATGTTACATACAGAGCAATACTGCAGCAATTACATGGTTGTTTGTATCTTCCTTTCTAAAAAACCCACAGTATCCCGGCCAAAACTTTCTCTGGATTCCCTTATCGGCCTGGTGTTACACACCAAGCTTGAAACTCGCTGGGATGGCCAAATTACTTTTGATCTTACAACAACACGTATTCATTTGTATTCAAATACGGTTCTTCGGGCTGAGCTTCATTTATATATATATATATATATATATATATATATATATATACTAACATGCCCAGAGTCTGCAGCTGCAGGACATAGTTCTGTCGCTCAGCCATCAGGTCCATCAAGGGGTGCAGAGATTACAAATCATCTTGCTACCAATATCAGTGGCCAGTTTCTGGACCAGAGAGCTTACCTAGACCAATTGCAGTATTCAACATTGCCAAACATTTTCTTTCACACCCCTTCTCGTTCCTGGAATGAACATATGGAAATCCTCTCCCGTAGCAAGGGCCAGTCTTCACCAAGTTGATGTGGATTTAGCTCCATTGCAACTCTAAAATCAAGCAAAGACACTGAAAGTGGTTCTTGCGTTACGTCAGATGGTTGGTTGCTAGTTTGTGTGTAAAAACTATTACACTGCCGCACCCCATTTATAATCTCGTCACGGCTCTGCTGTTTTTCTAAACTTTGTTTCTTGGACGTTCCATTCATGGACCTAGCTCCAGCCAAATCGACGCATGATTTCATCAGTTTTTTCAGGTACACATCCAACATGTTATTTAACATACTACAACACTCTGCAGAAACCCCTCCAAGACCCTGTGCTACTGCAATATTCTCCAGCCGCTTTCTCAGCATATCTGTGTCTGACAATCCACCACTGTCGTAGCAACTGATAACATTAACATCTGCGCTGGTCGAATTTGGAACTGTTCTGCGGGAGCCACCAACACTAGCCGAGCAAAATGGAATCCCTAGAGGTGCAATCACAGGACACATTGAAGGAAGCAATCTACCTTGTTCCTCTTGAGGTTCATCATCTCTACTAAATGGAGCTGCAACCTGACCCTTATCCAGTACCCTCAGTTTTTCAGCAGGACAGAGAAATGCACCGTCTCTTTCATCAGTGTATCGACTAGATCTTTGATAAGCGGAATCCCTGTTTACCGTGTTTCTGTTACCACTTTTGTCTTCTCTACAAAGTGGCTGATGCAACAGAATGTCAACCTTTCCATTTGGCCCAAGTGGACTAGGCCTATCTCTGATTGTCCCGTCACATGTTCCAGACCTAACCTTGGCTAACACCCCATTTGACCAAACAGGATCATTCCTATTATGGTTGGGGATCCGAGATCCGCTTTGGTCAAGTCCACCTTCTTTCCCAAGCACCAAAGATTTGTCAGGAAGACCATTTTGGTGAAGTGGCGGTGGGGATTTAGCCAGAGATGCATTTCTCAAGATGGAACGAACCAACTTGTTGTGTAGAGAAAGATTATCTCTCCCCAAAAGACGGCAACATGACTTATCAAACTCAGTCTTCGTAAGCTTCTGACTCAGAAACCTGCCCAAGTAGTAAAAATACCTTCTAGATCTTTCAACCCCAATCTTCTTGACAATATGCACTTTAAGCTCAGCTAGATCAATCCTGGAATCTTGAGGACGTTGCATACTTGTTTCTGCTTCTTCTTCTAAAACAAAACTAGACGACACAGTCAGAGGGAGTGCACAAAATGCACCCTCTCAGCTTCTAGTTCTAGTTATCCCTTCACAAACACAAACCCAACGCATCAACGAATTAATCCTCAAACTCAAATCCAGGAGCATTTCAAGAACTCAGCTGAAGTCTTAAGTTCAGGCCACTCCAATATCATTGTACAAACGACACAGAACTCGTAATCCAAGGAGGAGTAGAATGCAAAATCCAAATCTCATCTGCCCAAAACCAAAACCCTAGGGATCATTATCGACTTACCAGCTTACACCAAGAACCTTAAAATTCAACCTCGGCTGCTGAATCAGTATCAGAAGATATTAAAAAAAAAAAAAAACCCTAGCTTGGAGTGACCAAATCAATCCATGGGAAGGAAGAATCAGCAACTTGAGGAGAGGGTAAGAAGAAGAAACTGAATCAGAGCAGAAAAACCCAGCATTTTTATTTTCTATCCAAACCACGCCCAATTTCGGATGCTAAGAACTTGAGAATTCCCGAAATTTCAGTTGGAGCAAATCGAGATCAGTGGAGGAGTTATGGATAAAAAAGATTGGAGCTTTGAGAACAGAGCAAACAGATTCGAATTCCGAATTGAAGATGAAGGGAAGCGGGCAATGAGAAGCGGGACCCAAAGCTTGTAAGCCGAATAACAAAGTGTTGGAAGATTGGTTTTTGATTGAGCCTTCGAAGATTTTGACCAGAATTCAGACAAAACTAAAATCGGAACAAAACAAGTAACTTCCCAGTTCCCACACCAACCCCAATGATTTCTCCAGGCTCCTCCTTCCTTTAATACTACTTACTCGCTTCTGCTTCTTGCTTCTGCTTCGATTCAATCTTCGTGACTTGTTTCGTATTGCTTTCAGATTTGAATGTCCGAGCTTTCGCTCTTCTGCGTTTTTTTATTAGCTTCGATCGCTGCTTATTGGTTTCTGTTGTTCGTTTTCTGCACTTTTGTTTCTGTCTGTTTTTTTCTTTCTCTGTCCTGATACAATTTGCTTTTTGGGTATTTTTTCTTCCTCGTCGTTGTTTTTGTAGCTGGGATTAATCGACAATTTTATGAGAAAATTTTGTAACATTTGATTAAACCAGTATATATTAATCTTGTAATGTTCTGATCTGACTGATATCGAGCATAGGTATATATCCCGATCATCATCATCTCAGGATTTGTATACTTGAAACAATGAGACAACTTTAGAAGATGAAAGATGAGTGTTTGGTGCTTCGGATTTCCCCCAAAATTTGGGTGTTGGCTTTTTGTTCAAGTAAAAACTTTTAAATTTGGCATTGAACAATGAAAAAAAAAAGAGTTCAACATGGATTGGAAACTGCAAACTACAAGGCTTCGTCAGCTGGAAAGAAACCAAGCTTCAAACTTACATCATAAACAGTGGAGATTCAGTCAAATGAAGAAGAAAAAACAGACAGAATACCACATAACTCGAGAAGACAAATCCTCCTAACTCATAATACTACAAGAAAACCTAAATGATAATGAAGTGACCAACGAGACCAAACACAAACAGAGTTGAGATTAAAATCTATAAGAGATGTCACATAATCCTACCTCATAATACTCTCCTACTGCATCGGGTTATTGTGTACAGCTCATCTTACAGAGTCGGTTTGGCCCGTCCTTTGCCTCGACCTCCTCGACCTCTTCCTCTACCACGGCCTCTTCCTCTTCTGCTGTATGCCAAGACCTTGGTAGTACCCGGACTGCTACTTGCCGAGTTTGAGTTTGGTAGAGACTGGTCTCCCGGGAGCCACTCTTCTTCATGCGTGCTTGAACTGTTGTGTGAGGCACTTGAGTCGCTGTCATTGTTTTCGTTGTTAACTGCACCATCCGAGCCATTCCCTTCTGTCATATCATCACCATGAATTTCAGCTATAGGCTGCGAAGCCTCGGTTTCTTCTGGTGGTTTGGGTTTTGGTTGACCTTCCATAGCCACTAGACTGAAAAAGTAGGTCTTTGCTTAGTAGGCAATAATGTCATCAAACGTCAAACTAGCCATACAGAGAAAGAGCTGTTTCTATATTCTCTGATTCAATCAAATATCCTAAACCAAAGGCCTAGAGAGATTTTATTAATATATTAATATTGTTATTTGGATTTATAAAAAGTCAAAGATTCAAAACTTGAAAAAGAAGTATTAGGTTGCGTTACCTAGGTGATGAAGATGGGAAACCGTTAGAAGCAGGATGTGATGCGCCTGTATCATCAGCTTCTTTCGCTGTTTCAAACACATCTTTTGGGATGCAAAAGTTCCCAGTTGGATCCAAAGTTGCCCCAAGAGCCAAGACAGCTGCAGTAACAGGCGCACAAGTAAAGTAAGAGAACCCCAACTAAAATTCATCCAAAAGCAAAGAATTTCTAAGGAGTTTAGAAGTCTAATGTATACCATTTGTCGTGTCTCCAATAGTCGATCTAGGTTGGATAAAATCATCATCTTGAGCATTGAGGACATCTACAGATGGCTTGCCTCCTTGTGTGGAGAAAAATGTCTCATACAAACCAACTTCATCTAGGTAGAAAACATTAAATCCATGAGACTGAGTAAGAAAATCAAAGATGAGAGAGTGAATAGAAAGAAAAGATTAAGACAGAAACTGACTAGATCTAGTGTGTAAAACTCCTGCCTCTTCAGCCCCTAGATTAGCTCCCATAGTCTTCACTCAAGCAAAACACAGAAGGGAAAAAAAAGATTAGACGTGCAAGTTTCATCTTGAAATAGAGACACATAGTGTTAGGAGTGCTTAATACCTGATTTTGTTCAGAGGTAGGTATGGTTGAATTTGGTAAAACCCCGCTTTGTTCATTCTGTAGAGCTGAAGAAACAAAAAGATGAGCTACACATGTAACCCGCATGGAAAATACTTTCAACTTCATCTCATGTCTAATACTGAAAAAACCTATTCCACGTGTGAATAAAGAGAAGAATAAACACCTTGATCAGGTCCAACGGAATTCAAAGACGCAGGATTTCCTTTTAGCATATCAGTCGCTAAAGCATAGGAGCTGGGTTTAGGTTCCAAATTGGCTACACTACTAGGACTTCTAAGCATTTCCTCTGTTGCTTTAGCTCTGACTTTGCGAATTTCATCTTGAATATTCCATGACTTATTAGAACCAGATTTCCTTCTCAGCTGCATTTTGGTATCAAAAGTCAGAGCTATTGAATATAGGTAAATTAGAGAATGAATATGGGTAAATTTGAGGACGCCATTAGATGAATATAATGGTATGCAACTTTGCCTTAGGAAAAGCAGTGTCCCACAAATGCCTTGTGATTGACTAACATAAACAATATAAGTCAAACAAGATTTTTATATCATAAAGCAAAGATGAAACAACTTATGCACTGCTGCATCTATATATTGGAAACTTAAAGTTCTAACCTTAGACGAGGAAAAGTTTCCAGCACTATAAGGAAAGGGTGTCCGTTGCATTCCTGCTGATGATGGTGATCGAAACTCTGAATTATTCGCAGCCGGAGATCCCCAAGGCAGACGAGCTCGCATATATGACTTGGCCACATCCACAGGCGATCCAGCACCATCTTCAGTTGCCTGGAGATTTAACTAATGGCTGAGATGGTGATCATCAATTAAAGCACTATGGAAAAGAAACACAAATGGCGGAATACTGTGAAGAGAAGCTATCAGAAGTTAAATCTAGTGAGATAGTGGTCCTGGTCCTAAAGAAAGAGAAACAATATGGTTCTTTTGCATTTTAAGCGTACAAAAAGGTATTCTCTAATCAGGACATTTCAAAATTAATTTCAGCAAATGGCCATACTCAAAATACTGAACAACCTACTTTCGCAAGAGAACTCTATGTTGCAGATTAGATAGAATAGCATAGAACAATCAAATCACACAATGAACTTTACACAAGCGGAAGCTGTCTTATAGTATAATAGATAACAATGGCTCAGAGCACAGAGACGAGATATTAAAAACAAGGACACACCTGCAGGCTGCAGCAATATGAAACAGTTAAAAAGAAACTTTCCAGAACTTACTTTATACTTTGAACTTGATCCTGATTTCTTCTCCTCCAACCATTTTTTTGCTTCCATAACAGCTGTATTGGACATTTCCCCCACATTCTCGTCTTGAAATAACAGAAAAGAGGTTGTCACATAAACTAATCTGGTCTGCATGCATAGTCTAAGATCAGTTACTTACCACTTGTCAATTCATTATCATTATGCCTCCCCTCAACCGCAGTGGGGACACTGGGATGATCTACAACCCTAGCATTGATAATATCTATCAATCTATCACCCTCTTCCCTGAAACAATATACACAGCAATGACTTAGTTGGATACAAGATCAGCATAGATTTAGTAGCTAAACAAATATCGCAAAGTTCTTTTAAGCTAAGAGATGTAAAAAATAAGACAGGCGGAAGATGCTGCTACTTATGCTGCTACCTTGCAAATGTTTCTTGCATGAGAAGCTGCTCAATTACACGCTTAGAACTGAGTCGTTGGATAGTTGGTTGCTGCGCATTCACAAGGTCCTATTCACAAAAGAAGACATCAGATCACTCCACATAAACTGAACTCATGTTTCCATCAAAACACCCATTGAGAAAGTATTTGCTTTATTAACTTTACTCCTACATAATTGGGATCAAAATGCACCTCATAGGCATACTCAAAAAAGGCGCAGAAATTATGATAAAATTTTAGCAACACCAAAATCGACCAAGGCAGTGATATAGAATCTATTATGTGAACAATGAATTCAAACAAATATCATAAAACTATTAATGGCATATTAATAAGAATGAGGTGGTTAGTAGTACCTCGTCAGTAACATTGGTAATGTTCTTCTCAATATCCTCATCACCATCAATATCTGCAAACAAGGAAGAGAACATATAAAAATCCATACTTTAAAAGAAGAAGACACAAAGCTGGCCGGTTTTCTCAATCCCAGACCACATTGTATGGGAGGTTAAAATATTTAGAATTAGTATGAAGCTTAAAGCTAATAGAAGTAACCTAACTAAATAGTACTTCACCAATACTTAACTGCTATAAAGTCCAACATATTAAAGGAAAGAAAAAATGAGAAGGCTTTAAACCAAATTCACATTTCAAATGAAACGGTAGGTTTCAGATTCAAACAAAAAAAATTCAAATTTATCCAACATAAACCCAATTTAATTCAACATACCTGAAGAGGAGTCATCGCCCTCAGAGGAAGAAGAGGATGATTCGGAGAAAACGACAGAAGAAATGAATTTACCGGCGCCGGAGGCAATTACGCTGGCAGGTTTGTAAACAAGCCTGGAGATCCAACTAGGGTTTTGCTGAGGAGGATCTCGGGATCTCGGAACAGGGCGGTCATACGGCGTCCTGAAGGCGGCGGTGCGTCGAGGTCGAACAATTTTTCCCCCGGATCGAGGCTGACGTGCTCCGGCGTAACCGGAGACAGAATCCATGGTGAAAGAGGGATGAGGAGGGAGAAGAAGTTCGTTGAAGGAAACAATGAAGTGTTGAGGAGAATGGGTAATTTTTCGTTATTTGTCGTCTTCTTGTTTTTATTTTTTTCTTTTTGTTTTTTCATTGTTTTTTTTTCAAATAAATTGCGGGTGCGAAGGGTTAGTTTCCTATATTACAGGATTACGGTTAAAATTGGTCTCCACTAAAATAAAATTAGACACACAAAAAAAAAACATTTCAGATCACAGAAAAGTTTTTCCAATTGTAGTATAATAATCATGTGTTATATAGGATGACAAAAAAAAAATCTTGTGTTATGTATATTCTCTTTTCATATTTTACACAATAAAATAAAATAATTATTATATTTGAAAGAAAAATAAAACCATGGTCGAACGAATTACAATTAATCAAGTCATAACTAGTTAATTTTTAAAAGTTTAAATTATTCCTAGTGTTTTTTTTTGCACCGAGTGGTACATTTATTCCAGTGTAATCAGTTAGTATAATCTTACCCACAAGTATAATGGGCCACTCCGACAGAAAAAAAATACTAATGGGCCAATCAAAGTACAAATGGGCTATAACTATAATAGAATCGGGTCAGTTCCTGACCCGATCGGATCTAAAATCGGCGCCTTCTTCTTCATTTTGATGGCAATCAATCAATCGACGCATATTTAGAGAAGCACAAATCAATCAACGAGCCGTCGTCGTCGCTTTACATATAAACAATCCTTACCCATCGAACAAGAATTCTCTGATTATACGTTTCAAGAGTCGATCGAGGGATCGAGATTGAGATTACATTTGAGAGCGATGCCGGGTTTAACATGTAACGCGTGTAACATGGAGTTCAAGGACGAAGAAGAGCGTAACCTTCATTATAAGTCTGATTGGCACCGCTACAATCTCAAGCGCAAGGTATATCTATATATACTTTTTATTTGAATTGAATCAGAACTCAAGACTATTTGTATCTTGAGATGATATTTGCGTCGATGAGATGAAAGTATCTGAGAAACATACTTGTCCATTTTACAATCGAAATGATTTTTTTTATATAAATAAGGTTGTAGAATCTTGAATTGCTGATGTGTGTCTGGTTTAGGTGGCTGGAGTTCCTGGAGTTACAGAAGCTTTGTTTGAGGCTAGACAATCTGCTCTTGATCTGGAGAAAAATAAATCTAATGAAGCACCTATGCTTTATAGTTGTGCAATCTGTGGTAAAGGTTACAGGAGTTCCAAGGCTCACGAGCAGCATCTTCAGTCTCGGAGCCATGTTTTGCGGGTTTCACAAGGGACAACAACCAATGGTGAGGAGGATGTTGCCATAATCAGGCCACTTCCTCGTCGTGTTCAACACAGGGGTTCCATTGATGATGATAGTGACGCTGAATGGGTGGAGGTTGATTCAGATGAGGAATTGGCTGCTGAAGAAGCTTCTGATTCTTTGTCTAAGTTGAATGTTAATGAGTCAGGATCTGCTGAGGATATGGATGATGATCAGGCAGACAAGTACGACCTGGATCCTACCTGTTGTTTGATGTGTGACAAAAAACATAAGACCTTAGAGAGCTGTATGGTTCACATGCATAAGCACCATGGTTTTTTCATTCCTGATGTTGAGTATCTGAAGGATCCCCAAGGGCTTCTCACCTACCTTGGTCTTAAGGTTCAGACTTATCAATTTACTAGTCAGAGTTCATTGTTGTAACTTGTAAAGCTTTGAATCTTTTACTGTTTACTTATTACATGCTTCATCATCACTCAGGTCAAGAGAGACTTCATGTGTCTCTACTGCAATGAGCTATGCCGTCCATTCAGCAGCTTAGAAGCTGTAAGGAAGCATATGGAAGCAAAGAGTCATTGCAAGTTGCATTATGGTGATGGTGATGAAGATGAGGATGCTGAACTAGAAGAGTTCTATGACTACAGCAGCAGGTTTAAATCTCTTCTATCCCTGTGATTAATCTTGTTTGCACATCTGTTCCTCTTTTGATGCCAAATCTTAATGCTCCTAAATTTTGAATTTGAGCAGCTATGTTGATGAAGCTGGAAAGCAGATTGTTGTATCTGGTGAAACAGACAACACTGTAGAACTTGTTGGTGGTTCTGAGCTCGTGATCACAGAGAAATCTGAGAACGCAACAACGTCTAAAACTCTCGGGTCTCGTGAATTCATACGTTACTACAGACAGAAGCCACCCCCAACTTCTCAAAACAGCAACCAGATAATTGCCTCTTTATCTTCAAGGTTTTTTCTCCTCCAACTCTACTAATCTAGATAGTCAAGCTAGTTTATCTGACTAAGGTTATTCCCACAAATTGTAAATTTCAGGTACAAGAGCCTGGGTCTGAAGACAGCACCAACAAAAGAGGAGACATTGAGGATGAAAGTGCGCAAGCAGATGAGCCAGAGAGGCGAGACAATGCGTACCAAGATCGGAGTGAAGAGTAATGTCATAAGGAACTTGCCCAATAATGTCCCATATTAGTTTCTGAGTTTGTGTCACTTATTCTCTAGTGTTGGATTTTATGAGGAGTCCATGTACTTTGACCAAGTTGTGTACTTTGACCAAGTTGTGTACTTGGCAATAAGAGTAAGCTTTAAACAAATTATGTTCACGAAATAGTATACATGTTACAGTCGCTGCACGAACGTTGACTTCTGAATTACGTCTCTCAATATCTACATTGTTCAAAGATGCATGTAAAACAAAGAAGCGACAACGACAAAGGGTACTACAATATCCAAAAAAGGCTTTATGTTTTTGTACAAAGGCTGCGACTGCGAGTAATGTCACAAGACAAACCTACAATAAAATTTTATGTGTAGAACGAAAAAGAAGAGAGGGCTCCAAAACCAAGAAGCGCTGGCTACGTATAGGTTGGTCTGCGTCATATGCTTCGCTTCATTTTCAAGCTGACTGAGAAAGAAAGAAAAGAAACATAAGACATCCACAAGAAGATAGAACCAAAAGCAAAGAAACAGAAAGTTGATACCTAATTTTCATAGAAGCGGGTTCGACGCCTTCTTGAACTGTAAAGTAGAGAGAATATGGACATTAGCAATGTCTATTCAAGTAACTATCATATATATATATATATATAGCACAAGAAAGCTAGTAAACCAGGTCGATACCCCAAGCCACTATGCCAGAGATATCATAATAATGGGACCTGCTAAGCTAATACATCATTATTCAATCCATAAGAGCATCTCCAATGGTGCTAACCATTGGAAGGTGCTTACATATTTTTTTGCATTAAATTTTTAAAAATAAATTTATAAGCAACTTTATCTTGATGTTGAAAAATTTGGTGTTCCAATGGTATAACTCTTAATGAAGTGCTTAAAAACAAAAAATTAATTTAATTGGGAGAATTTCAAAAATACCCCTTTTCCAATACCACTTTTTAAAAATACCCCTTTTTCTAATTTTATCAAAAAGTCACTATAAAATTTGAAATTTATCAAAAAAATATGCGAAAGCTTATATTTATAGACACAAACTATCTTTATATGTGTGTAAATTTATACATATATCTCATAAATACCTTTTAAAAACCTTTTAAAAATCATTTAAAAACCTTATAAAAACTTTGTAAACCTTTTAAAAACCTTATAAAAACCTTATAAATGCCGTTTAGAACCTTTTAAAACCTTATAAATATTTGGATTTAGTTTCCCAGTAGTAATGATGATCTTGATGTACCTTATCAACTATATAAAAGTTTGTAATTTTTCATATTTGAAAATGGGTATTTTTGAAAATGGATAGAAACAAATAGAAACATTTATTATAATTTATAAAAGAAAACAAGTTATTGCATACTATAAAATATTTAGATCATGATATAAAAGTATATATGAAATCATATAAATTAAAAACGAAATAAGCGACTAGTTGTAATATTGATTTGTGCCAAATTATGAGGAAAATGTTTTTTTTTTTTTCTATTTTTCCACTCACCCACTAATATTTTGACACGTCAGCGGCCCTTAGCTTTTGCTTATAAAGCTAATTTAAGCTACAAAGCTTATGTTTTGTGGTTCATTTTACATTAAATATAATGCAATTAATATAAGCAATGTGTTAAGCATTGCATTAAGCATCTCTAATGGAGATGGTCTAAGGTACCTATTAACCTGGCTCTCTGTTAAAAACCTCTAACATCAATGCATGTAAACCATAAAATATGAAAGTAAGAATGTATATATCTCTGCAGCCGCAATGATACTAAAATAGTGATGCAAAGCAATAGATGATTCTGACCTTTGGTGCATAGAGCTACTTCTGTTAGCTCCACTGGTGCTGATGAACTCATCATCGATCTCATCTACTCTATACTCCGGGAACTCTATGGATGCTACTGAGCTGTCATCAGAGTTGGAGTTATCATAACTAGAGCGGCGGCTCCCTCTCCTGCTCTCACTCATTCTTGATCTTCTTCGATTCCTGGCATTCCTTATATTGTCAAACATCTGATACAGAATACAGGAGGTCCACCAGTTTCCTTCATTGTTAGGAACATCTTCAAACTCATCTCCTGTGTCATCATCTCCATATTCGATCACATAGTCCCCTAAAACCACTCCTCTCGGAACTTCTGAGTGAATTGTACTCAACACGTCGATTATTTCAGAAGACTGCTGGAAATTTTCCCAGTCAAGCTTTCGTGCTGGATCAATTTCTGAGGGACGAGAATCCGGATGCTCTGACTGAGCATGATTGCGAAGTTCCAAGTAAGTACCCATAAACCTACATCTCTCTTCCTCACAGCAACGTTTTTTCTCATCAAGACGGACACGAGCTTCTTCAACAACAAGCCAGCCAGTAACTTCGCCTCTACAGAGTGGACACACCGGTTTGCAACTCTCTTCTAAAACCTTAGACCGAGGTTCATCAGGAGGTGGAGGTGATTCGGTACCACAGGCGCTAATGAAACGATCCAAACAGTTAGAGTGAAGGTGATCTGTGTTGCAAACGAATGCACGGCAACCATTATCGTAAGAGGAGCACTGGAGAAGCACACCGTTGTGAGGGAAATCCAAACAAATGGGACAAGTCAAATCATCCCAATTAATAGTCAACTGAAACTCTTGGCCACAGAAGGTCTTTGCTTGAAGCCGCTTTTCACAAACATGTTCCAGAGCCATGAAGTGCCAAACTTTTGTTGTTTAATCTCAAAGATCCGCAGCTTATTTCCAACTTATCAGGAACTTAGGTTCTACAAATCAGAGACTCAACGAAAACCAGAAACCATTGATGGAACAAATCATTTCCTCTTGGGAATCTGTCAGTCGATGAAGCTGCACATGCATGTAAAACGAGACTGATCAAACATCCAAATTCTCAAATCTGCAAATAGGTAGAAATGTATAGACAATTCGATATGGAGACTCATAAACCAATTCGGTGAAAACGATTCAGTTGCTGGCGAAACACGAAGAACCCAAAAGAGAGGGAGAGAGAGTGAAAATAAAATGAGAATCGGATTCAAAAATTCAAACAAACCCGATCGCATAATCTAAAAACCTATGGGAGCAGAAGAAGAACCCTAGGGGAAAATTAGAAACGGATCCAAAATCAAAGTAAAAACAGTAAGCAAAGGCGAAATCGAAGGAGAAATGAATCGGAAGCTGACCTGAGAGGAGACGACACAAGTTACAAGGAAGTGGGAAGAAGAAGAAGAAGAAGAAGAAGAAGAAGAAGATGATGATGGGGTTTGCTTGTGGGGATAGTGTATCGCAGTTGGTAGGGGGAAGCCTCCTTCTCTCTCTCTCTTCTCTCAATCAATCCCCATAAACCATTTTTACCTTTTCAATACATTAAATTATTAGAGCTAGTATTTTTTTAATGCTAATTTTCTTTTTTTCCTAAGAAGCTATTTTTTATATTAAATTAATATAAACAGAAGGTTTCTTTCCTTAAATAAATATTTTGTGACGAGTTTTTTTGTCTACTTCTAAGTTTTTTTTTTATCGTCTGATATAAAATAACTTAATGAAATATATAGACTAAAAATTTTAAATTCGAAAGTTTTCAAATGACTGAACGAAATGGATTAGAAGGAACTACTCGAAATTAAGCAAAGCTTAATAGCTTATGACGATAAAAAAAAAAAAGTTGTGACAATTCGATTGGGACTGCTAGTGCGAACTTTGGTTCATATACGATTAAAAATTAAAAATTGTTAATATCTATTTTTTTGGTCACCGAAACTTTTTTAATTAGTATTTGACTTTCTCTAATAATATTTCAAAAAAAAAACACAACGAAGCACAAAAAAACTATGCGACCGAGTAATCAATCGGCCCATCAATTTAATTGGGCCAATTTAAAATCACTTTAGTAAATAAATGGAAAGTAGAAGAAGAAAAAAGTTAATTACCGTTGTTAAGAACAAAAAAAAGGAAAAAGTGAAAAAGGAAAAAGGAAAAAGGAAAGTTACTGATGTTAAGGAAATAAGGGAACTTGGCGTTATAAAAAGATGTTTATCAGTGAGATTGAGGCATAACTTTTCTCTGAATTTTGTTTTGCATTCTTCTTTCTCTGTTTTGCATATTTCTCTCGATCGTTTTGAAGTCGAGTCTCTCGCAAGAAAATTTGTAGAAGAAGAAGCTTTGTAGCTATGATCACGGTAAGATCCTCCAATTCTCTTTCTTTTTTTTTGGGTTTCTAAATTTCATTCCTAGTTGTTTTGTGTGTATTTTGTTTTTGTTTTTCGTTTTTTTGTTTTGAATCGGCTTTGATATTCACATAACCAAACGAATTGCGACTCCGCGTTCCAAGGTTTATATGAATTGAATTACAAGTTCGATTAATTCTTTTTGGTTTATTGATATTCACATAACCAAACGAATTGCGACTCCGCGTTCCAAGGTTTATTGTTGTCTTTTCTTTTTGGATTTGGAACAATCCCTTTTACCCACGGCTTATAAAAATTATCAGTCTTTGTGACTGATATTAGGAAAAGACAATCCTTTTTACCCACGGCTTATAAAAATTATCAGTCTTTGTGACTGATATTGGGAAAAGACGATCCCTTTTACCCACAGCTTATAAAAATTATCAGTTTTTGTGACTGATATTGGGAAAAGACAATCCCCTTTACCCACAGCTTATATAAAAATTGTCAGTCTTTGTGACTGAGATTGGGAATCATAACGCGTTGGTTAAATTGGACACGGCTAATACTTTGGTTGGATGTTAAGTCTGTTAGAGAAAGAAGTAGAACACTGTGGTTGGATTGGTCCTAACGGCTTGTAAAAGTCATTAGTCTGTGTGACTGATGCTGGTTGGATTGGTTCTAGTTATCCAAAGCTTATAACAATCATCAGTCTGTGTGACTCAGATTGTGAAAAAAACAAACCTTCTACCCACTAGCTCAAAAAAAATCAGCAGTCTCTGTGACTGATATTGGGAAATATAAGACCTTGGGTGGATTTATCCACTGACTTAAAAAAATCAGCAGTCTTTATGACTGAGATTGGGAAACATAACGCGTTGGTTAAATTGGACACGCTAACACTTTGGTTGGATGTTAAGTCTTTTAGAGAAAGAAGCAGAACACTTTGGTTGGATTGGTTCGAGTTACCCAAAGCTTGTAAAAATCATCAGTCTGTGTGACTGAGATTGTGAAAAAACAAACTTTTTACCCATTGGCTCAAAAAAATCAGCAGTCTATGTGACTGATATTGGGAAACATAAGACCTTGGCTGGATTTATCCACTGACTTAAAATTCAACAGTTTTTGTGACTGAGATTGGAAAACATAACACCTTCGTTGTATTGGATTTTGTACCCACGACTAAAACTTTGGTTGGATGTTAAGTCATTTGGACGAAAGAAGCAGAACATTTTGGTTGGATGTTAAGTCTTTTTGACGAAAGAAGCAGAACACTTTGCTTGGATTGGTTTTAGTTACCCACAACTAATAAAAATCATTAGTCTGTGTGACTGAGATTGTGAAAAAACAAATCTTTTACCCACTGGCTTAAAAAAATCATCGTTCTTTGTGACTGAGATTGTGAAACATAACAAACCCTTTACCCATTGGCTTTTAAAAAAAATCATTAGTCTTTGTGACTGAGATTGAGAAACATAACACTTCGGTCGGATAGGCTTAAGTACCCACGGCTAACACTTTGGTTGGATGTTAAGTCATTTAGACAGAAGAAGCAGAACACTTGTGTTAGATTGGTTTTAGAGCTTATAAAAATCATCATCTCTGTGACAGAGATTGGAGAAAAACAAACCCTTTACCTATCGGCCCAAAAAATTCAGCAGTCTTTGTGACTGAGATTGTGAAACATAATACCTTGGTTGGATTGGCTTTAGTACCCACAGCGATCACTTTGGTTGAATGTTAAATCATTTAGACGAAAGAAGCATAACACTTTGGTTGGATATTAAGTCTTTTAGACAAAAGAAGCAGAACACTCTGGTTGGATTGGTTTTATTTACCGAGAGCTTATGAAAATTATTAGTCTGTGTGACTGAGATTAGAAGGAAAAACAAATCCTTTACCCACTGGCTCCAAAAATCAGCAGTCTTTGTGACTGAGGTTGGGAAACATAACACCTTGGTTGGATACCCACTGACTTAAAAAGATCACCAGTCTTTGTGACTGAGATCGTGAAACATAACCCTTGGTTAGATTGGCTTTAGTACCCACAACTATCACTTTGTTTGGATGTTAAATCATTTAGACGAAAGAAGCATAACACTTTGGTTGGATATTAAGTCTTTTAGACAAAAGAAGCAGAACACTCTGGTTAGATTGGTTTTAGTTACCGAGAGCTTATAAAAATCATTAGTCTGACTGAGATTGGAAAAAAACCAAATCCTTTACCCATTGGCTCCAAAAATCAGCGGTCTTTGTGACTAGATTGGGAAACATAACACCTTGGTTGGATTTACCCACTCACTTTAAAAAATCAGCAGTCTTTGTGACTGAGATTGTGAAACATAACACCTTGGTTGGATTGGCTTTAGTACCACGTCTAACACTTTGGTTCGACGTTAAGTCATTTAGACGAAAGATGCATAACACTTGGGTTGATTGGTTATAGTTACCGTGAGCTTATAAAACTCATCAGTCTGTGTGATTGAGATTAGATAAAACAAACTCTTTACCCATTGGCTCAAAAAAGTCAGCAGTCTTTGTGACTGAGATTGAGAAACATTACACCTTGTTGGATTTACCTACTGACTTAAAAAAATCAGCAGTCAGTGATCTTGAATTTGGTGTTAATGGTGTGTACTGTGTAGTTTCAATTTATCATACACATTGTTAATTATGTAGGCAGAATCCAACATGTGGCATAGGCTCCCTGATCTCTGCTACCATAAATTGTTTTTGTCAACAACCTGAACTTCCTAAAGAGTGAATAAGCAGGTAAAGAGAGGTCAACAAAACTAAAAGAATGTGTTGTTCTTCTTGTTTGTTATGAGCCAATATTTACAAACTTGATAATATGTAAAGAAGACAGACAAAAAGTGCAGCTGTGAAGATCTTCCTATGGAGCTTTGTAAACTAAGAATGAAGAAGTTCCAAAATAATTAAATCCAAAAGATCTTCCCATGGAGCTTGGTTGTGAAAAGGCTAACTGAGATTTCTCCAACATACACCCATTGTTGCAAAAGCTTTCCCTGCGTTTTTGCAAACAAACGAAATGTCACCATGATGTATGAGAATAGTTTCAAGAGCTTGGCTCGAGTTCTTTACCTTGTGGTGTCAAGTAACAGTGTGGCTATGCCTTTTCTTCTGTTAGAAGGTGAGACCCAAATCGCTCTAATTCCACAAATAGCTGGTTTAGCTTCTTCTTCACATACAAGTGCTCCATTATCTAATCTATCATCTGAAGCTCGACATCTTTTCGATACCTCTCTTTGTAGCACAATGTTTCCAAACTGAATGGAGGTTGAAGGCGAGGAGGAGCTCTCTTTCTTTATCTGTCTTTCATCATCAGGAGGAGCTATAAGCTTAAATGCTTCCTTAATTGGCTCTGCAACTAGACATCCAGAGATCCTCTGAGAGGAAACGAATAGATAAACCTACAGATAACAAGGTAGTCCTTGAAACAACTGAGAAAGTAAATGGAGGCTATTCACAACATTTGGGCTATATCTCTTTCTTGTGAATCTACTGAACGAGATAATCAACGAAATTCCTTTCTATATCTCAAAACGAATTTTCTCAAACTCTTTCCCAGTGCTAGTCACAGACGTGGAAGGAAAATCACAGTAAATTGAAGCATCCTCCTTTAATTTGGAGGAAAGTAAAGCAAATATTCCCAATAATGTTTGTATCAGATCATAGTTGGCTCAATTTAGTCAACATCAAGTACTAGAATGTATGTTTGAGCTATGGAATATAATCGAAAATGGCAGTTAAGACGAGGCTCATACCTTACAATGTTGGTGAAGAATCCAATCCTCACCTAGCTCAACCTCCATCAGTTTCACAACCTCTTGCACCTGAAATTACAAAAGATACAGCGTTTAGGAGAACCAGTAACATAAACATCGCAAGTTGAACAGGTTGATAAAAAGAGAACCTTGTTTCTGTGTGCAGGGGAAGCATTATCAGATACCACAACGATGCGGTTCTTGTTGACCAAGGGCATTGTGAAGGCTCTCTCGTTCTGCCAACCCTGAGACCAATTGAAAAGCCAGCACTTGAATGACACAACCTCTACAATGATAATCAAAGAAACATACAGTATGTCTTCCAACAATACACAGTGACGAGCATCCTAACCTTAAAAGGGATTCCATTCATAAAGATCTTGTGAAAACCTTGATGGTTCTTCTCATCTATTTCATCTCCAGGAGCATACTTAACTCCGCACACAGCGCAATGTCTGAGAAGAAAATCAGATTGCCCCAACTCTAAGTGGAATTGGGTATAATTCCGCTTCTTTTTCAGATCTTTAGGTGCAGAAGAAGAAGAAGAAGAAGATACTTTCTTAAGCGCTTCACTTCTGGAGACCCAAAATTAAGAGACACTCTTATTAGCACCTAAACAGGTAGGAATCTCGAAGGGAAAGAAATATAACGCAGAAATTAGGAATTGCCCATCGCTTATTTTCGATTCTTTGACGAACTTAAGAAAGCCCTAATCCGTTAATCTGAAGAGCACCAATAAATGTAGAAAATTCGAAGAACCTAGAGAGAGAATTCAAATCCCCCAAAAAGATGATTGAACAATACCTATCGGATATCGCAGATCGACGCTGGTAGGTATTGACGATGGAGTTCCGCTTTTGCTCCCAGACGGCTAAACCATCGTCTGTGTCTGATGTTACCGAGGCGGCGATAATAGACGAAGAAGATGAAGATGAAGATGAGGGCTTGAAGAAAGAATTGATTTTAGCTTGCATTCTTTCGAATCCCTTCTTTAGATTTGTTTTTCCCCCTTTACTATCATCATCCCTCGTCTTCTCCTATTTTGGCGCCAATCCAATTTTTGTCAAAAGATTGTCAAGTAAACTTTTGGCGCCAATCGAAATTGTTTTTTTTTTGGGGGGGGGGGTGGGGGGGGT